GGTCACATGTCGCACACGTCAACCACATGTCACACACTGATAGGTCACTGTGTCGGTCACATGTAGCACACGTCAACCACATGTCACACACTGATAGGTCACTGTCGCATACCTGTCGCACACCGGTAGGTCACTGTGTCAGTCACATGTCGCACTGTCAACCACATGTCACAGACTGATAGGTCACTGTCACACACATGTCACACACTGATAGGTCACTGTCACACACATGTCACACACTGATAGGTCACTTTCACACACATGTCACACACGTCATACACACGTCATACTGGTCAAACACATGTCACACACGGGTAGGTCACTGCCACACACACGTCATACACACGTCATACTGGTCACACACATGTCACACACACGTCATACTGGTCACACACACGTCATACTGGTCACACACACGTCATACTGGTCATACACACGTCATACTGGTCACGCACATGTCACACACATGTCATACTGGTCACACACACGTCATACACACGTCATACTGGTCACACACAGGTCACACACGGGTAAGTCACTGTCACACACACGTCATACACACGTCATACTGGTCACACACACGTCGTCATACACACGTCATACTGGTCACACACATGTCACACACACGTCACACACGGGTAGGTCACTGTTACACACATGTCACACACAGGTAGGTCACTGTCACTCGTGTCACACACACATGTCACACACACATGTCACACACGGGTAGGTCGCTCTGTCACGCACATGTCACACAAGTGTCACACACACGTCACACACTGGTAGGTCACTGTCACACACATTGTGACACACACACGTCACATGCACGCGTCACACACGTCACACACACGTCACACACACATCACACACGTCACATGCACGCGTCACACACAAGTAACACACGTCACACACATCACACACATGTCACACACACACATCACACCCACACGTCACGTCACACCCACACGTGTCACACACATGTCACAAAACGTCACACACATGTGACACACACACGTCACACACATGTCACACATACAGGGTTGCTTCCACTTGTCACACACACAGGTAGGTAACTTTGCTACAATGGATTTGAAATGTTAAATCTTGAATCTCTCGATTCCTATGTACCTTTTGCCATGTAGTGGATGTTTTGATCCTGTCTGACTGCTGCTCTAGGCCTCGGAGAGAGAGTTGTCTGGTGTGGTGAGGAGTTACCTCCCTTCTCCTGGAGCAAGGTAGTCGGGTCAGCACCAAGCCACTAGAGGGTTGGGCTTAGTTGGGGAGAACTCTCTGTCCTGCTCTGTGTTGTTGGCTTTCTCCCAGTGTGACCTTCACCTTGGCCATAATGACCTCATTTCAGACTTGTGCTGCGGTCACCACCACCACCACCACCACCGCCAGCACCATCACAACAACAACAACAACAACGACCACCACCAGGAGGAGAGAGAGGAGTCGGTGACGGAGGCGGAGCTGGCAGAGATGGCGGAGGTCGCCAGCTTTGAGCAGGAGCTTCTGCGTCGCTACCAACAATGGCTTAGGGAGAGGAAACCGCTCAAGTCCTGTCTCAGGAAGACAGCCTCGGGGTCAGTGTCGGGGGTCAG